GACATTCAAAACCAGGATGTCCGAGCCCAAGCCAGGATCCCCCTGAAATTTAAGGTCTAGGGTTCAGGGGTTTAGGGTTTAGAGGTTTAGGGTTTAGAGGTTTAGGGTTAAGAGGTTCAGGGGTTAGACGTTGAGGGGCGTAGGGGTTTAGGGTTTCAGGGATTTAGCGATCTAGGGCTTTAGGGTTTAGGTGTTTAGAAGTCCAGAGGCTTAAAGGTTTACGGTTTTAGGGTGTAGGGTTTTAGGGTTTAGGGGTGTAGAGGTTTAGGGTTTAGGGCTTAGCGTTCAGGGCTTAGACCTATAAGCCTCGAGCCAAAAATCCAAACCCCAAACTCCCAAATAACAATTTCTAAGGCTACGGGTGGGGGCCTAATGTACACGAAATCTCATTATGAGGACATGCAAGAAGTACCCAAATTTTTGCCTTCAAACTCAAGCCTTCAACCCTGAACCCTGAGCCCGAAACCTTAAACCCTAAACCATTGTTTCCCTTCTCTTGTGTGCAGGAGAGTTGTAAGGGCTCTGCTCATGCGAGGGTTGTGCTGAGATTGCTGTGCTTTCTTGGGGAAGCTTGCAGTGCCCTCGATTTCAGGTTTGCAGGTTGTGGAGGTCGCGTGGCGAGGTTGGAGAGGTGCTGTGCTTGCCTTCACCTCTCATTTTGGACCTCGCTGTAAAGAGTTCTTCGGGAGGCATACTTAACGGAGAAAAGGCCACATAAACAGAAAAAACAAAACATAAGCCCTAAACTCTAAACTCCAAACCCAAAACCCTAAACCCGAAGCCCTAAACCCTAAACCCAAAGCCCAAACCCCCCAAAACCTCGCAATCTGTAGGTGCTGATCAATGCCAGGGCAAGCCTCGAAGATGGGATTCTGGGGAAGGTCCAGGATTTAGGGGTTTAGGGCTTTAGGGGTTTGGGGATTTAGAGTTTAGGGATTTAGGGATTTAGGGGGTCAGGGTTCAGAGTTTTAGGGTTTTGAGTTTTAGGGTTTAGGGGTTCATGGTTTTAGGTGTTCAGGGTAGGGTTTAGGGCTTTAGGTTTGAAGGGTTCAGGCATTTGGGGGTTTAAGTCTAGGGTTTAGGTGTCCCTTTACAAGGAGACCGTGTTAACACGTCCGTGCTATGGTAACTTAACTTAGGTTCCTTAACAGCAGCCCAGGATTGCTCCACCGATGGTCACGGCAGCCGGCAGTGATAACACTCATGGCGTCTCTGCTGTTTTTTTCTTTGTGGGGGGAGAGAGTGGTTGCGTTTTCGGGTGTGGAGTTGAGGGAGACTACGTAATAAGAGGATTTGGGTAACTTTGGCCTCCAAAACAAGGATCTCATGAATATCACGTGATTTTTGTAGCGTCTGCATAACGGGGGCCGGGGTTACCGAAATCATCTCATTTTCCAAGCCCCACTCCCCATAAACTCCTACATAATAGTTTCTGTAACGCTCGTTTCCATTTCATTGTCCATTTGATTCTCTCGGCCTAGTGCGGGTTTAGGGTTAGCCGGTTAGCGGGGGGTTGGGCAGGGGTTTCCTTCAAAGGAGTCTATAGCTGTTAAAGGGGTTCATGGAGATAATCTAAGGAGTCTAGGGTCGAGGGGCTTGGTGAGGGGCTTGAGATTGGGGCTACACAGGGATATACAAAGTTTACAGCTTCCCAGAATTCAGGCTGTTGGGAATCTACCATTTTGGGCATGTTTTCTGCAGTCCTTTGCGTTATGATTTTTTAAATCAACTTTTCAGCCATGTGGGTGGTTGTCAAAATTATGATCCCTTTTAGGATCCCTACTATAATACGGCACTTAATATGTAGCGTACCAAAAAGGGACCGCAATGTTGACAACCACCCATGTGTTTGTGGTATGCTTCTCTTCCCTTTTGTGGCAGTTTGTCCCTACATCATTTTATCATGGGTTGATCGCATGTTGTTTGTCTTTTTGATTTTCCATGTCTTGAGCTGTTTGTCATCTTCTGCTGTAATCAAATCTAAGCCCTAAACTTGCCCTAAACCCAATGGCAGCTTACACTTTCGACGCTCTAAATTCCTGATGCAGAGGCGTCTGGAACGCCTGCCCCTTGCGTGATTGAATCATATCAAGCTGTCAACAACTGTTATTACTGTTATTGTCATTATTCTTGTCATTTGTTGTTATCGTTATCAACTGCCTTGCCCCACGACATACTTCTGACCTCAGTGTACGCGCGAGCTGGTAGTTCACGTATACGTATGGGTTTTTCTCAAAACCATCTCTCAATAATCCACCTATAATGCCTGCCTATGTATCGCCAGGGTCTACATGTAGGCCCCCCACCTCTCCCCTCTACATTGAGGAAACCCGGACGTGCACGCTCCATGGCTAGCCCCAGTTCAGTTTCTTGCCCCGGCTGCGGGACCTCTCATATAGGGTTTAGGACAGGAGATGTAGCAGGAATGTAAACGGAAATGAAACGGGAAGTGACGTGCAAACAGGGGTTATGTATGGGTTTGAGGCCGTGAGGGGAGTTGAAAGAATGAAAAACAAAGTTCCGGAAACACGGTAATGATATGCAGAACTCTAAGAAATGGTTAACATGACAAAATAATGTCGAAACTATTACTGTGACAAAAAGTCCTAAACCCTTAGCGTGACAACAACAACAAAGAACAATTGTTTGCCCATGAACACAGGCAAGAAAAGGACTTCAAAAGGATGCTGGCCACAGGACCCCACATGGGGTTTAGAGTTTAGGGTTCAAGGACATACCAGACTGAAGGAAATCGATGAGTAAATGACCGGGATTTTCAGGTCACGGTCAAGGTTTCTTTTTGAGGCTTACAGAAAGTGACTGGAGCTAATTTTGTACAAGCCCGAATTACTCCCCTCATGACACAGGAAAAACACATATAACCTGTTCTAGTTGCTTGGACTTCTAGACCCTAAACTCTAAGACCCTAAACCCGTCAAACCCAAAGCTTCCCTAAAACCTAACACCCCAACCCTTAAAACTCTCAGCCCCAATCCCAAACCCTGCATCAGGGATGTACATCCTGCACGCTGCCGGATGCAGTTTCCAGGCCCACGCTTGCTAATGTTGAAGGTTTGGCGGAAAGGGTTGAAGGCCTGGGGTTAGGGTTAGGATTTTAAGTTTCAGGTTTAAGGTTTCGGGTTCAGGGTTTAGAGTTAAGAGTTTGGCGTTTAGGGTTTGAGGTTTTGGCGTGAAGGATTAGGCTTTTGCGTTTTAGGTTTAGGACCTTTTGGATGTAGAGCTCGAAGTAAAAACCCTAAACCCTAAGCTGCGTTAATTTAAGGGTTGCAGGTGAAGTGTGGAGGACCCAAAAAGTGTAAACCTTCAGCCTGTCATATCAGCAGTACTGCAGCAAAAGTCATTTTCAGATTTTGGGCTTGTTGTCCCCCTTAGGTAGATGCACCATGGCTTTGGGTATTTTCAAATAAGATCCCCACGTGGCCCACATTCTATCTACTTAAGTGGGACTATATGGTCTAGGGTCCTTCACACTGCTCACTGGTACGGGGATTGTAGTGGATTCGTTAGGGATTATTCTAGAGATCCACTCGCCCACCCTCCCAAGCACCAGTAAGTTTAGGACTGTTTGTCGTGCCTGCGAGGATTCTGCGGCTTAAGCCCAAAACCCGGAAAATTGACCCCTAAACTCTAAATCCTGAACCCTGAGCCCTGAGCCCTGCACCCCAAACCCTGAAACTACACGACATCGAGGCGAGAAACGTGGCGAACATGTCGGCACTAGAGAATGCCTGCTTGACCGGTTCGGGGAAGGCCGTTGAGGCAGAGTTGGTTGGTCCCACATGGGGCTTCCCCAAATTTAGGGTTTTGGGTTTAGGGTTTGGGGTTTAGGGTTTGGGGTTTAGGGTTATGTGGGCTTTATAGGGATATTCCCTAGTCAAATAGAACAGCACAAAAAACATGAGATGGAAGCCACCATTTTTTCTATGCAGACATATTAGGCGCCCGGCCACAAGTGGCTGCCCCATCAACAAAGAAACCCTGCTTGTACTAGAGGTCTCAGCGTACCTCATGTGCTTAAACCAATTATTGCATTTAGTAGCAATCTAACCATCGCCATTTTGGAGGACTTTCTGGGCTGTGGGTTGACCATCAAGTCTAGGGTTTGGGGCTGCTGGTGGGGTTGGTGATGCCTTCCTTTCGGCCATGCATGGGGTCGAAAGTGAAGGTGAGCCATTTGTGTCAGCCCTCTTCCATTCCGGGGCAAGTGAGCCATAATCTAAACTCCTTAATTAAAGGGGGTTATTTAGGGGAGCATCATAGGGGTTATTCGGGGGATGGTAGGAGTTTAGTCAATGGCTCTGGGGTTTGAGCGCCGGATCATTGGAAACCCAAAGCCCTAAACCCAAGTTCATCGGAAACCCAAAGCCAAGTTCATCGGAAACCCGAAGCCCTAAACCCAAGTGGCTGCAGGTACTTCTGAGAGACAGCGCGAATGTGGACCTGGGCATGTCGTTGCACTGGGCTTGTTTTTATCAAGGAGGCTGCCTGGCCAGAGGGGCAAAGGAGTCTTGGGTATAATCTGGGGATTATGTAGAGGTTATATAGGGATTATATAGGGGCTTTATAGGGATTATATAGGGATTACATAATTAGGGATTATGTAGGGGTTATGTAGGGGTCATTTAAAGATTATATAGGGTTATAAAGGGAGAATGGAAAAGATAATGGAAACTACTACAGTATATTGGGGTTATGTAGGGATAATGGAAAAGAAAATGGGGACTACTATAGTATATTAGGGTTATGTAGGGATAATGGAATAGACAATGAAAATTACTATTTAGGGTTTAGGCTTTAAGGTTTAGACTAAATAATATGGCAGCTTCCGACATGGGGACCCCAATATAGAGGCCACAATACTCCTTATTGTAGTGACCCCAGAAAGATTCCACTAATGTTGGGACCCCGCAGATGTTACAGAGCGTTATCAGCAGCACTAATCTTTCATTTTCCTGACCCAAGGTTCCCTGGATCTTGTCCAGCAACTGGTCGATGCCAGAGCGGACGTGAATCAGCATTTCTGCTTGAAGTCAATGAGCTTTGGAAATGGTTGAATAGCTTGTAGCATGCTTATGATTGCTTAGACCTGATGTGGTAAAACCCTAAACCCTAAACCTTGCTTGGAGGGTCAGAGGGATGTAGTAAGTACGTAAATGAGCCCTAAAACCTATATAGTATCCCCATTATTGCCCACTTACCAGGTCCCACTGACCCTCCCAGTAGAGTCTTCACATTATGGTCCCCCTAGATAGAATATGGGTTTGGGTATGTTATATTAAGATCCCCATATACCCCATATTCTATCTTCTTAACGGGGACTATAAGCCATGCCTTGTGAAGAACCCAGGAGCTTGCTTGGGATCCTTTTTGGCGTCCTCAGCCTTCGCCATCGAATGGGTAGGAAAACGCCCGCGGCTGAGTTGTTTCCCTGGAGCAGACTGCTTGGAAAGTCAGGGGGACGTAGTATGTAGGTTCATAATTGAGATAACTAGGGTT